TGTAATGCCATTTTCACTTAAGAGTGAATTTAATCTCAATTAAATGAATTAAATATTTTAAATTATAAATAAAAACTATTAATTATTAAATATCAATTATTAATTATCAATTTTACCTAAACAATTCATTCAAATTAACTTTTTAAGAATAAATGTAACATATGTAATGCCATTTTCACTTAAGAGTGAATTTAATTTAATGAAAAATATTAAAATAAAGTATTTTGTAAAGCACTAAATTTAAGATATATAGAATTAGTAACATCTATTTTACTTTCTCACATTAAAATTAAAAATCTTATGTGTAATAAAAATTGAAATTATTACCTCTATTAATCTTTTAAATGAAATAAACTTAAAACTTTGTTTTCCTAAAAAAAAAAAAAAGACAACACCTATTACTTTTACGTACCGTGCATCTCAGTAGTAAACGAAATACTCTCAGGAAACAGTTTACTAAAGAAAGGAAATATCTTACAACCGTTAGATCGACATTCTCTGACAAAAATCAGAAAAAGACTGACGTACAAGATCATCTCATCAAATGATGGCCCCACCACGTTAAAATGTTAGCATACGATGGGACGCTCCCTATCATCTTTACTTCGTCTTTTTTTTCTTTTTGCCCGCAATATTTAATTTAAGTAAATTTCAAACCGCTTCTTCCTAATTCAAAACAGTTCTCTCCTCCCCCCTCTCCAAAAAACTCCCCCTACTTATTCCACTCTCGCCTCCGCCGAGTAATAATCGGAGAATAGCGCCGGAAATTGCCTCCATTTCGGTTCGATCTGAGCGAAATGGATGAACCTGAGAAGCAGAACGATCTGGAAGTCAAGAGGCTGAGTCTCATTGACGTTTCTCGCGAGGACGATTGCCTCTTCAATTCGCCTATAATTGACCCTATCAACCCTAAATCTCCAGGTTCTCTTGAGTTTTTAATGCCTTTCTTCTTAATTTCATTCCGTATTGGGGAAATGCTTGCTGATGAAGTTTGGGATTTTTGTTGCGCATTACGGATTTTGTAATTTTTGTAGTTTGTGGTTGATTTTATGATTTAACTAACAGTTAGCTCGGAAGTCGTTTAATTCATGAGAACGAATCGTTCTTTACCTGCTATTTTTGAATCACATCTGTATAATTGATTGATTTCTTCTGCTATGTTTCTTTTAACAAATCTTTACTTCAGGTAAGGTATTGAATTTTTTTCAAGAAGAACATTTAAGGCTACGCCTTCGCAAAAATGAAATGTTGATTTTTTGCTTGTCTATGTGTTTTGAGTCTAATTTCAACAATTGTGTGTCGTCATTGCTAAAGTTCATTTTGATTGAGCTGATTTTGTGGTGTTCAGAGAAAGGGAATGATAAAAGTGTCCATTTCTCAGATGGTGCGCGTCTGAACAATGTTGAAAAATCAGCAGACTTTCTTGATGCGATAGATGTAAGGGAACCATCTGAGTTTTCAGAACCAGAAAATGGGAGAAAAAGTGAAAAGTATAATCTGCGCAATAGTTTAGCCTGGGATAGTGCTTTCTTTACAAGTGATGGTATGGATTTTATCAGTGCATGTAAACTTTAAAACTTTACAAGTGTTGCCATTTACATGCGTGTTTGTGACATTCTTCTTCATGATTAGGTGTTCTGGATCCAGAGGAGTTGTCTAGCATAATTGGTGGCGCTGAGAAGTGTAAAAAACATTTGTTGCCTATTCAAGAGGACATAAATAGATCTTGTGATTCATTGACGACAACAATAGGGAGTGATGCTTTGACATTGGAAAGTCTTGAAGCTGATTTGTTTGGAGATATAAGGGCATCGATACAAAAATCAACTAAGGCATCTGTTAATGCAAATTCAAGTGTTAAAAAGGAATCTGGAGTAGCAGAAACACAAACTGTCTTATGTAAGTCTTCTGATTCTTCAAACAACATAGCCACGTGGGACAGAAGAAATGGTTGTCTTTGCTTGAGGTTTAAGCTTGTTGGCTGCTACACTTAAATTTTGTTAGAAGGCAAATAAATTGTGATTGCAAGTCCTAAATAGTAATTGAATTTTTTGTTTTTACTTTCAAGGTGATACTCATTGCATTTGTGCTCAAGATCTTCAGTTAGTATCTGCTTTGAGGCCAATATGTTCTCAAACTGACACTGCCCTTTTTTCTTTTTAGTTTCAGCTCTAAAGAAGGTGGAGCCTGCTTCTCAGAATAAGGTATGTTCAAACAATGCATGGCTGCTGTACATTTCATTACTTTGTTGCCCGTCTCAAACGACCTTAATGTCAAATCTCAGATGAATCTAAAAGCTTCTCCAACAAAACCAAGTGTTGGCATTCAAGCATCTGGGAAAAAATCATTGAAGCAGGTCTCTGTCCGTCCACTAGTTTCAAAGGCATGTATTCATTATGCGTGCTGGTTATGTTGATCTTGCCATAGCATAGAAATGACTGGCTGCTTTTTATGCTGTTTCTAGTTGGAATATAGATGAAATTAATAAGTAATAACATTGTCAGAAGTTCTGAGTAATGTTGCATTTCGCAAATTGTTAGACTAAATTAACGAGAAAATGGTGTTCACTTATGTGCATTATTAATATAATGTTCTACTGGGAAATTTCCAGTACATTATTGTTGACTATATTACTGTTTAATACCTAACAGTGATCTCTGAATTTGGCCTTGCACTACACTTTGCAGATGGCTGCTAGAACTAGAGAATCATCTTCAGCCCTTCCAAAGCTGCCCAAAGTACAAAGTGTTGTCACCCCCATCCCAAAAACATCAAGCAAGAAGGATTTGATTGTGCCTAAGCATGTAAAAATGGAAAAGGATGCAAAAAGTGGGAATGGTAATTCAAACAATAGTTTATTTGGATTAACTTATTAAATTAGTGGAATCCATCTTACTCATTTCAATGCAATTGACCTGATTCAATTTAACAGTTGTAAGGGCTCCAGTGTTGAAAACTCCTGTTGGTGGCTCTAGAAACATCATTCCTAGGACTAAACCACATTCAAGGACTTCATCCTACTCTTCAGCCTCAAACAAGGCAGAGCTGACAACTTCTTGTTCCTCACTTGATAGTTGTGGCAGTGCTTCATCTTGCAGCATGGCTAAATCTCCATTTATTTCAATGAAAAGAAAAAATGAATCAAGAACAGTTAATAATTCTTCATCTGGTTCTATTGTTACAAACCCATCAAGAATTGCATCAGAAGGTAAAATTCAAACCGGAAGCTCACAGCTCTCAGCTCTTCTGAAGTCTGTCACTTCGCTTTCATCCAGCATATCTTCTGCTGGCTCCATAAGTGCTTCACAGTCATTATCGCCAAATTCTGCTGTCCGTCAAAGATCTAATAATGCTAGAGCTAGCATTGGCACTGGTTCTTGCAAGGGGGTTCGCACATCAGGAATAGGTTCTCAGGCTGTTGGCTCATTAGGTGGGTGTGTAAAGATGGTGCCAGCTGGAACTGCTGGACTTACTCAACCAGCTTCCATGAAACCTTCAGGCCTCAGATTGCCATCGCCAAAAATTGGCTTCTTTGATGGGGTTAGTACCAATCTCCTACTCATGTTATGAGATCCACATAACCAAACTGCCACTATTATTTGTATTTGATTTTTTTTTTTTTTAGTTTCATTGTTCTTTGTTAGGCAATAATATAACTTCAATGAAACTTTAATGCAGGTGAGATCGTCTGGACGTTCTCCAAACGTGCTGTCTCGTCCTAGCATTGTCAGCAGCTTGCCAAAAAGTGGACCAGGAACTGTTAGTCCAAGTGGAAGTTCAAACAGGTCAAACCTTGGAAGAACTCTAATAGGTAGAACTCAAACTGCAAACCGGAGCACCAAAACTGCAAACCAGGGTGCCAAAACCGATGTTAAGCAAACTTCTGGTGGAAAACCTAGATCTTTGCTTCTTCAAGAATCTCCAAATGCTGTAAAGAAGGTCTCTAGTTCGTCAAGAAACATAAAAAACAGTCACCACAATCCTAGTATTTCTCCCATTCACGTTAAATCATCGCCTAGAAACAGGGGAGGAAGTCACTCAAAGGATCTGGGAGTTGGATCCAAAAGATGTAGTGTAGCAAAAGGTGCTTCAAATTTTGGTTTGGCTGAAAAGAATGAGGCCCTTATTTTCCCAGAACAAGTACTGGCCCCAGAAATCAGCAATGCTGCTTGTTTGAAGGACACCAAGATTGTTCCTCCTAATAGAAGGCCTCCGAACACTGGTGATGATGGAACTGACAACCATCCTTCTCTGAAGACTGATTCGAATTTACATTACAACACCAATGAGAAGGAAGAAGCCCATAAAGGTGCTGCTCCAATCAGTCAAGTTGGAGCTGTGGATGTAAATTTGGAGACTCAGAAAGAACTCATTGGTAACTCTTCTCCTACTTGTAGCCAAGATGAAGTGCTTGTAAATGACCAATCAAAGCTTACTCCCCACTCTTCCCTAACAACCTCTGAAATTACCACTGGCCCAAGGATACCTCTTTCTGCCAAGAATTCTATTTGCAATAGAGATGGACCCATCGACATTTCAACAGGATCAACAGTACTGCAGGCAGAGAAGATAGCCACGTTGCCCATTTCAGAGAACATTTTGCCAGGAAACACTTGAATGTCATATTCATATCTGGCTTTTATTCTATTGTGTCAGATTCAAGTAGTTCAGGATGTAGGGTAAATCCAAAACATGCGCATCTCACTCTCACCTTGCTGCAAGTGCAACTGCTGCAATTCATTTCAGGTTCAGGACTGATTTTGCTTATGGTGAACATGTATTTATAACCATTCTTAGAAAATGTTTGTTCGTCATCAATGGATCATTGAATGTATATCTTGGGTTTTCTTCTTCTTCTTCATTTTTTTTTTCTGTAGAAGCAGGCACTTGTGTTGTGAGATGTTGTTATATTTTAACTTATTTCATATGTATTGAATTTTATATTTCTTCCAATTTACTCTTTATTTTTCTTCCTTTACAGATCATAATTTTTTGAGACTGTAGAAGTTGATGCATTTTTATTTTCATCTCTATTCCCTTCTCTTAATCATCTAGTTCAATGATGCACGTATGGGTATAATGCCACTGTCTTTATTTTATGAGGAATATAAACACTGAAAAATGATACATATATAGAATTTACATAACAAGACATTTAACATTTAATAATTTTTTAGAAAATATATATATACAATGCAAATGAGTAAAAACGTAACAACAATATTGAAATAAATATATTGTCACAATCATTCTATTTCCATAAATATACAATGATACCTACCAATACGAACATGTACATTGCACTCAGTATTAGATAAGGTAGCTTCACTATTTCCATGAGAAAAAAAAAAGTTATGAATTATTGTTATATATATAATGATAACCACATATTGGGAACCTTCAAACTTTTTTATTTTTGTCCCAATCTAATTTTCCTGCACTTCTTTCACATAATTTTAAGTAACATTTTTATGTAATATATGAATTGAAAATAAAAATTTTTAATGTATATTAATCCCTAATTTTTACCACTATGAATATTACTCAAATTGAGATTTTGGAGTTAACTAAATGAAAATAATGGTTCCACACAAAGAGTTGTTGGTTTTGAACTTGTCAAGATTTAGTCAAGATTGGGTAAGGTTCAAGCAGCAGTGTCAATTGGAAACGGCATGAAAATCCCTTTTTTGATCATGGAAACTGCTACGTTAGCGTCGTTCTTAGATTCAATTGCAATGGTTGCTACCGCGGCCATAACTATTGCAACCTTATTGGCGCAAGTTGGTACATTGGAGCTGCATTTGACAGGCAGGTGGGTGATTGCTGAAGTTGTGGAGGACAACTTGAATAAATGCTTTGCGTGTACGTCTGATCATATTTCCTCACTACAATTTTTGCTTGACATAATTTCTAATTTTGGAGAATTCTATAAAATAGAGATAATTAAAAAAACATTGTTATTTCTGAGTACTACAACACACCAACATCATTAATAAAAATTTATTTTGCTTTGCGCATGGAAAGGGAGACAAAAACTTCTTCATGGGTTGAACATTGTCTATTCAAAAAAATGACCTATATTTATGGGTAATTTTCAATAATAATATAGTTATAGGGTTAGTGTTTGTTTACCTTATTTTTAAAAAATAAAGAAAAAAAATAACAAAAAAATGTCATAATTCATGTTTTTAAAATAAGATATTTTATTTTTTTTTAATAGATATTTATTAAAATGATGTAGTTTTAAAATAATATTTATTTTAATTTTTAAAAAGTAAGACGGATAAGCACTATTTCTTATAATTATAATCTTATTTAATATTATAAATTTATAATTATAATATATTATTACATGTAATATTATAAATAAATTTTTAAATAAAAAATAAAATTATATAATAATACATTATTATTATAAATTTATAATATCATATAACATAATAGCTATATCATTTTCATAGTTTTTTTTTTTCCCTACTCCATGCCGGTAATGGAAGAAATAACTTGGATGTTGAAACAACACCAACTTTGAGTCCCTGCCTGCTAGGTGGGTAACTTGTACTAAGTTTATATTTTTAGAGTGTAATCTTTTGCGGTAAGGATTTCGAGTGTAATCTACCTCTTGACCGGAAAAGTTTAGACTACCCTATCACATTAAAAAAAGAAGAAGAAGAAGAAAGGAATAGTGTATTAAATTTTATCAATTTAATGTAGTTTTTATTAACTAATTAGATTGCTTGTAAGTTCAACTCTTGGTGGCCTAATGGCTACCCTTTGAATAGGTTTGGTTAACATAATGATTTGAGTTCAAATTTAGATCCTGCTCCCTCTTCTGTATTAATTCTTTACTGTTTAAAAAAAAAAGATTATTTGTAAAAATAAACTTATAGAATCATTTGAAAGTAATGCTCCTATTAATTTAGGATTCATGGTTTATAGAGAGATGATATATTGAAGGTACAATATAAATATTAAAATTCTTAAATTTTATTATTAATAAAATAACATAAAAAATAATGATAATACTATAGTTATAATTTTATGTTACATTATAAATTTATAATTTTACATGATATTAAATAAAATATAACATGATATTAAATAAATAGATATATAATATTAAAGTAGATTTTTAAATAAAAATTAATTATATAATAATATATTATATTATAAATTAATAATATCATGTAATATTATAATTATAATATTTTTAAAAAATAATATTATTAAAACTATAAATGTACTGTTTCATGGTCTTTGCATGTAAAATATTTTTAAAAATATATATTTTAATACATATTTAAATTTAATTACACTTTTTATTTACTTTGCTAGTATAATTTTTTATCTTAAAAGCCAAATCAGAACTAATCCTTTAAATCTAATAATTCATCTTAAAATTTTAGTATTTAAGTTAAGTTAACAAAAAAATTGAGTACCATACCTATTTAAATGTTTACATTTAGCCTCCCTCTAATTGTCCTTGTTTTAAAAAAATAAATAAATAAAAGCCAAATCAAAGTCGACAGCAATTTTAATACTGTATGGTTGGATTAGGACTTCTAAGTGCGCATGAATTTTATTTCTGAATGAATTAGTAGTAGAAATCCTATATATTTGCGCAGTCAGTGAGCCAAACCCAAACGTGATTCGATCAATTTGTTTTCGTAAATTTTAAAAACCAAGAAAGCCAGCCGCCCTCTCCAATTCTAATAATACCATGAAACGTCCTTTCCAAGAAACAAACACCGCTGTGGCGCCCAACTCCGGCGACAACCCTCTTGCTCCCAAGCCCGTTTTCTTAACTAAGGCTCAGAGGGAGCAGTTGGCCCTCCAACGCCTTCAGGAACATCGCGTCCAAGAACAACACCACCTTCACCGCCTTAATCCCTCTAAGTCCGGTTCCTCCAAACCTTCCCCCAATTCCAACTGCCGAGACCGTGAAAGGAGGCGACACAGGGAACGTTACTCGGAATGCCGCAACCGCCAGCATGAGGAGGAAGCCAAGGAGCGTAAGCGTGCGCGGTTGGAGAAATTGGCGGATCGAGAGCGTGAGAAGGAGTTGGAGGCGATTAAAGAACACTATATTGGATCTAAGAAGCCGACGAGGAAGGTTATGAAGATTACTGAGAAATTTCGCTTCTCTTTTGATTGGGAAAACACGGAAGATACTTCCAGGGACGTGAATTCCTTGTGCCAAAATCCTCACGAGGCCCAGCTCTTGTTCGGACGAGGGTTCCGAGCCGGAGTCGACCGGAGGGAGCAGAAAAAGCTTGCTGCCAAGAATGCGAAGGAGATGCTAGAGGAAATTCGCAGAAAAGAGGGCGTTGAATTGAAACCGGGAGTTGCTGCTGCACAGAGGCTCCGGGAGGAAGCTGCTGATATGTACGATTCTTTCGATATGAGACTCGACACCCACTGGTCCCTGAAGAAGTCGGAGGAGATGACTGAGAGAGATTGGAGAATTTTCAGAGAGGATCTCAATATTTCCTATAGGGGATCCAAAATTCCTCGGCCTATGAGGAGTTGGGGTGAGAGCAAGTTGAGTCCGGAGCTGTTGAAAGCCATAGAAAGAGTTGGGTACAAGAAGCCGTCTCCGATTCAGATGGCTGCGATTCCATTAGGATTGCAACAGAGGGATGTGATTGGGATTGCAGAAACTGGTTCTGGGAAGACTGCTGCTTATGTTTTGCCTATGCTGTCTTACATTTCTAGGCTTGCTCCAATGAGCCAAGAGAATGAGGCTGAGGGGCCTTATGCGGTTGTCATGGTGCCTACTCGAGAACTTGCACAGCAGATTGAGGATGAGACAATGAAGTTTGCACATTACATAGGTATCAAAGTGGTGTCAGTTGTTGGTGGACATTCCATAGAGGACCAAGGGTTTAAAGTTAGCAAGGGTTGTGATGTTTTAATAGCAACACCAGGTCGTTTGCTTGATTGCTTGGAAAGGCGGTATGTTGTTTTGAACCAGTGTAATTATGTTGTTGTTGATGAGGCTGATCGCATGATGGAAATGAATTCTGAGGAGCAGGTGATGGATGTGTTGGATGCATTGACTTCCAGCAACTCAAAACCAGAGAATGAAGGTGATGAGAAAAAGATTTCCAGGACAACTTACATGTTCAGTGCTACAATGTCACCTGCTGTGGAGAGGCTTGCGAGGAATTACTTGAGAAATCCTGTTGTTGTTACTATTGGAACGCCTGGAAAGGCCTCTGATTTGATTTCCCAACATGTAATCATGATGAAGGAACCAGAGAAGTTTCAGAAAATGCAGAGATTACTTGATGAACTTGGGGATAAGACTGCTATTGTTTTTGTTAACACTAGAAGGAATGCAGATACCATTTCTAAGAACTTAGATAAAGCTGGATATCATGTGATAAGTTTACATGGAGGGAGAACACAGGAGCAGAGGGAAATAAGCCTTAAGGGGTTTAAGACCAAGAAATACAATGTGCTTGTTGCTACTGATGTTGCTGCTCGTGGTATTGACATTCCTGATGTGGCTCATGTCATTAACTATGATATGCCTCATAAAATTGAAATGTACACACATCGAATTGGACGAACAGGCCGGGCAGGAAAGACAGGTATGGCCACAACATTTTTATCTCTTCAGGACACTGATGTGTTTTATGATCTCAAGCAGATGCTTATGCAAAGTAATAGTCCTGTCCCTCCTGATCTTGCAAGGCATGAAGCTTCAAAGTTCAAACCAGGAACGATCCCTGGCCAACCTCCTAGACGCAATGCCACTGTTTTTGCTCGTTGAGAAATTGATATTTTGGTACACTTATTTTTTTGTTTGGAAAATATTTTGGTAGCCATTTTAGAAGGTGAAGAATTGATTTTATTTTCTTTTTGATTCTTTATACTTAATCTGCTTTTGCTTTGAATGTGGAATATTATGGTTATTTCTTCTAATTTAGTGTACTTTCTTAATTTCTTTCATTTATGTCAGTCTTTGAGATTGCAGAATTTGATAGTTTGCAATTGGCATCTGCATTCCCCTATGATACCAGTTGGGTATCCTACTGCTGACTTTATTTCTGGGTAAGATAAATGGCAGAAAGATACAAAGCCAAAATTTGTAATATATAGTAATTTCTAACTTATTAACAAAATATTTTATATATTCTGCTGTCTCAACCTGTGCTCAGGGAATTTTAAAGTACTTGGATCCTGATTTTTGAGTACCACTGCAACTACCAGTTGAATGATCAAGTGATGTCTATAGTTATGGAGTTGCGTTACTAACTTGTTTGAGCTAGTGACCTCCCAAAAGGTCTTTGATTTCTCGAGAATTGAAAATGATGTCAATCTAGGAACATATGTTAACCAATGAAACTATGATGTTGTAATCTTGGAAGTCATGGATTCAGGGCTGCTGGGCAAGGAATCCTCAGATCTATCAAACTCTTCTCAGAGCTTGCATTTGCCTGTCTCAGAGAGAAGAAAGCAGATAGATCTGGAATGAAGGATGTTGTTCAAGATCTTGAATGCATACTTCAGAATATCGATCAGGAAAACATTCCTAATGAGATTAGTATTAACATCACATATGAACTGTTTTAACTACATGTCAATTGGGATATGTGCAAAATGCTAATATGTGAATATTCATTTTAAAGGAAGGATTGGATTTTGGAGGACCATTAGCTTTGGGTGGTGCAAAGAAGCAAAAGTGATTCAAAAGATGGGATTTGAGTGGATGGAAAAACATAAAGCAGGATATCGTTTGACAACTTTACATGGTGGGAGAACGCAGCAGAGAGAAATTAGCCTTGATGGTTTCGAGACCAAGATATACCAATGCAACGGATGTTGCTGTTTCGCGGTACTGATAATATTCCTGATGTGGCTCAAGCCTCATGTCATTAACTATGATCTGCCTCATAGAATTGAAATGTATGCATATCAAATTGGATGAACAGGACATGAATAGAAGACAGGTATTATTGCCACAACATTCGTTACTCTCACAGGACCTTGATGTGTCTTATGGCATTGTAACTATACAATTTATATCATTTTCGAAGTTGAAATATGATGTTAATTATTTCTTCCAACTTAGTTACTTTCTTAGTTTCGTCCATTTACGTTGGTCTTCAAGATTGCAGAAGTTGATAATTAATTTGCAGTTTGCATCCGCATTCCCTTCACCATCCTTTGATCCATTTTCCAATGCAACCAGTTTCTATCTTCATTTCAGGTGAATATATAAACAGCAGAAAGATGCAAAGACCAGAAATGGCAAAACAAGCCATGCACTATATATACCAGTAAATGTTTAGCCCATGGTGCAATAGTTTTAAGGCATCAAAGAGACAAGAGGAGACCTTTTTAAGCAGAGTGGGTTGAAGAAGATAGCCAGCATTATTTATCTGAATATTGAAAAATGTTGTCACAAATATTATGTTGATAAATGTCACAAAAAATTTATGAAAAAAAGATGTAAGGTAGGGTTCTCATCATTTTCATGAAAGACAAATGTTATGAAGTTTGTTATATAAAATGATGGATGGATATTGTGCTAAGATACAACATTTTTCCTTTTTATGAACAAAAATTTCAAGCTTACTAATAAAATATTTTTTTATAAATACAAATCATGAGATAAATTAAATTGAGATATTGGAGAAAACTAAATAGAAATGATGCTTAAAATTTGAAGATTCATGTTGAGAATTGATGCTGAGTAGTTTGAAATATAGGTAGATGTAGAGTTGCTTGAGATAGATAGAGATCTTTGCCACTGAAATACATCACGTTTGTTAAAAGATGGGTTTTACAATATAAGACCATTGTAAGACACCTTTGAAAACTCTAAATTCAAAATGCGTGTTGGGGTTGGGGCTTTGAGGGCAATTTATAAAATAGAGATAGTTTGGTGACATTTTAGAAAAAGAGAAATTTAAAAATTCAAATAGAGACATTCGCACTGTAAACAACAAGATATACTCAATTTAATTTAATTTTAAATTTCAAAAAAGAGAAAGAATCCATGACACTGGAATGGAAGTAAGAAAACAAAGTTTGAAACTTTGAAAGTTGCAAAAAAAAAAAAAAAAAAAACCATCAAAATGGATTTGATATTGCCAATACAGGATAACAAAAGTTCAATGTAATGCCAAATGGTAAATTAATTACTTGTTCACAAAATCTACTCATTGATAGAAAATAACATTGGAAGTTCTTAAAACAAACTATCAAAAGGTTGTAAGTGATGACATCCTCTCCATTGTCCAACTTCAAGACCTTGGCTTCTCTTTCTTCTCCTTGAAGAGTGCCAAGAGCGAAACACCAGAGACCTTCACAACCTTGAACCTAACTCCAGGAATATCACCAACAGCATGACCCTTACGGCCAAATCCAGCAATCAATACCTCATCCTGCAACCGAGGTTGTTATCAATGGATATATAGAAAATCAAGAAAAACCATACAATTTAACAAAACACTACTCACATTTTCTTCTATGTAGTTTAAGCAACCATCATTTGGAACAAAGGCAGCAATCTTCTTTCCATTTTTTATCAACTGAACTCTAGCACACTTTCTGATAGCAGAGTTAGGCTGCTTGGCTTCAATACCTCTGAATTATACACGGCCAATCAATGCAATTGGTTATAAAATGCTCTAATCATTGAACATAACAAAGGCAATTACAGGACTTACATCTTTTCGAGGACAATGCCTTTAGCATGGGAAGAACCAGCAAAGGGCTTCTTCCATTCATTACCAAGATGGGACTTTTTGTATGACTTGTCAGCCCACCTTTGCCTCCTACGGTGGGACTTGAGCTTGCGAGCAGCTCCCATACCACGTGTCTTCCTGAAAGAATTATTCCCCAGATCACTAACAGAGTTCTGAAAATAAAATTCTAAGCACGAACCTAGAGAAGTTTGTCCTTATGGAACAAAATCTTAATCTCAGAGTTCCTGCTTCCATTTCTTTTATTCCTTGAACAATTTCAAAGCAGAGAATAGTCTTAGATCTAAGAACAGAGGAAAAACGAAAGCATGCATTTTGTATTTGGATCCGATTAGTGCAAGAACTGCACAACCAAACCAAGTTTATAATTCTTCTAGAACTCGAAAGCAGCATTAATAAACTGAAATCTCATATCTTCCTCTTCCAACCTTATGAAGACCCATATAGCTAAAACGATAAAAACAAAAACCCAGAATCTAAAACCCCAGATTTGAAACTGTCTATTTGGGCATATTAGATACTAGAGAAAATTCATGGATAATAATTGTTTGCCAGAAAAAGCTAAGAAAAAGAAGAGGGACATGGAGGATTAAGAGTGGCGATTCATACCCCATGATGGCTGAATAGAGTTCTTCAACGGAAAAGAGGGCTCTGATCGACTTCCGGTTGGAGGGAAGAAGCAGCTGCAGCAGCTCGGTGGAACACAAACCCTAGAAGAGATGGGTATATATATGAGAGAAAGATGATTATGTTGTGCTGGGCTTGACTGCCTCCAATGAGGCAGATTTGTCCTACGTTCCGTTCTGGCCCAGTTTTTTTTTTTTTAGAATTCAGGCCCAGATTTAAAAAAAAATGAAAATTTTTAAATACATTCTTTTTTTTTTTTCTCACCATTTTTAAATGCAATCTTATTATAGAGGCCAAAAAATGGCATCTTATATATATATATATATATAAAATAAAACTCAAAACAAAAGTTTCCAAGCATCTTCATTTTGTAAATTCGCATCTTCTATTGAATTATCTTATTTTATTTTACTTTGTTGTTATTATTACTATTATTATTATTTGTAATTTACTCCATTTCAAGTTCAACTACGG